CCGGTTTTTCAAATAGAAATTGTGAAAAAAATCGCTATGTCCATAAATCGCAATTTCGCTCCATAGTGCAGCGTCCTGACGGGCGCGAGCGTGACACTCGACTGATATAATACCCGCCGGCGGGGCGCTTCGCTGTAGGTAATTATCGGATGTACCGCGCGGAGTGAGCCAGGCCTGGTAATAGTGACAGATGCAAATTGCATCGATCGCTTCGCTACGTCTTCTATCTATCTCAATCTATCACGAAATTGAATCTTATTCTGTCGTAAATGTTACTTGTAACTGGAGGTATTTATTATGAAACACTCGAATAACATTCACATAATTATGTCTTCCTCCAGTCACAAATCCTGGGGGTAGCCGCAAATCTCCAGTTCTTGAGAATAACGGCGCGCGCGCCCGGGTGACTTTTGTCACTGACAGTACAGTATGTAGGTAGGCACAAAATAGAATTTTGTGGTATACCTCTCCATAGATAAGAAAAGGAAAACGTTCTTTCTCTTTAAAAAAAAAAGTGTAAAAGAGAGTCATTGTCACGTGACAAAATTAACACGTGCGCGCGCGCCTTTAATGCGTGAGAAAAGCAAAGAACGCGCGCTTAATTGATTTTATCATCGATCACTTAATAGTTTTACACTATGGTTCACGAAAATCTTGATAAGTTACCTTTGTGTTAAAGTGATCATAAAGTATATTTCAGAGTATCGTCGAAAAACTGAAAAGCCGTTTAGTAGCCATGGTGGATTTCCACTCTTTTGGTCAGCTGATAATGTTTCCATGGAGTTCCAGGTCCAAGCCAACTGTTGATCATAATCTCCTAGAAAACACTTCTAAAGTGATGCAGAAGGTAAGAAGAATTTCATTCAACTTTAATCACCTTGGTGAATGGTGATCTTATTCCATGGGTGATCAAAGGACTCTGAACACAAAAAAAAACTTATACGGAACTGTGCAAAAAGGGCAGATGTTCATCTCATACACGTTTCAGGCAATATTCGAATACAAAAATAAAAGCTACACCACTGGTCAAACATACCAAGTGATCTACCCTGCCTCAGGATCTCTACTCGATTGGATGTATTCTGTGGGAATACGTCATAGCTACGTCATCGAAGGCCGCGATACAGGCGAGCATGGCTTCCTGGTACCCCCTGTGTATATCCAGGAGGCAGGTCAAGAAATGTACATAGCAGTCAAGCAGTTAGCAAGCCATCTCGAAAGAAAAACTTCGGTTAGGGCGCAGCACTATCCTTGGTTTTAGATAAGTATGACCAGACTTTTAACGCAGAAGTAGATACTAAAATGTATGAATATCTAACTTACAAACATGTTACTTTAAACATCTAATGTAAATTATCATAAATAAACAATCATTTTTAATTTGCCGTTAATAGGTATTGAAATTATGTAAGTACCTACATAATTCTATTAATTCAAAGATAGCATAAGGATGAGGATATCGATTCGTCTCAAGATTGATTGATTTTGAGACTTGAGATAGCAATTAAGCGACTTAAAGTACAGGTACCTACTTCTTTACAATTCATACAATTTTATCGCACATTTACAGTGCTGGTTCAAGCTATGGTCCCGCGCTGTATTTTCTACTCAGTTTTACTATCGGAAGGAACTGGGCCGAGAAACTAGTTTCATTGTGTACCAGTTGTTAACCTAAACTGTTAACTAGAGAAACCACTTTATAAATATCGCGAGAAAGGGTCGTTATTAGTATTTTCCACGGCCATTACTTCGCTTCGCGATCTAAGAACGACTTGTGTTAACCTGAAACCTACTACAGTGTCCTCATTATTTTAGCCTAGCGGCAGACTATGGACTTTTTGTCGGCCGATAATTGGGTCGGGATAATAATAATTTCAATTCAATACCGGAACAACCAGTTCCGAGAATCTTTAAGAAGATGTAATAATAATAAATACTCTTTATTGCACACCACATAAAAAGAACAGGAAGAAAAGGAACACATAAGGTACAATTAGGCGGTCTTATCGCTGTGAAGCGATCTCTTCCAGACAACCTATAGAGAGGACAGTTACTTACAACAAATGAAGGGGAAGGCGGGATGTTACTCATTAAAGTATGAAAGTACGTACATTTATTACACCGATTTGATATCGGCCGATTCTTCATACAAATTAAAGTCGGGCGCAACTATCGGCCAACTAAAAGTCGATGGGCTGCGCCTAGGCATAGCGCGATGGTATAGTTAAGATATTGAGCATTTAAATAAATAAAAATACAATATGAAATATAATGCGCTTTATTAATAGAAGGCACCACAATACCTGACATCTAACATCAAGCTTAAATCACTCACGAAAATATTTGACTAGACAATTTCTCTGCAACTCCGTATACCGCACTATAGGAACCACTTACAATTTCTTCAAGTATCAAGTACTATCAATCATCTCATAATTTGCGCTTATCATTTATTTCATTATACAATCACAAGGGATTAAAATTATGCTATACTAGCTTTCCGCCCGCGGCTTCGCGCGCGTGGACTACATTATCTACATATTTTAAGGAACCCTATTTTTTTCCAAAATAAAATTTAGCCTATGTTACTCGTGGATAATGTAGCTTTCGAATGGTGAAAGAATTTTAAAAAACGGTCCAGTAGTTTTTGAGCCTATTCATTACAACCAAACAAACAAACAAAGTTTTCCTCTTTATAATATTAGTGTAGATTTATCACCCTTAGGCACTCAAGAACACTTAGAACTCTCCTTATAAACTATCTGGTCCCTATCACATAATCTTCAACGTTCTTAAGCATAAATAGGGTTGCCATCCGTCCGGGTTTCCCCAGATTTGTCCTAGTTTAGAGGGCGTCCGGGTGAGGTTTTATTTGTTGTCCGGGTATAAAAAAATTAAGTCTTAAGCCAATGCCGGGAGACGTGACTAAGTTTTATAAAAACCTGTTGACATATCCGGTTTCTGGGCTTCAAAATCCGGGGTTTTCTCGCATCTTGTCCTGATTACCAAATTTTAGAGATGGCAACCCTAAGCATAAGTAAATAACACACGTGGTTAAGTAAAATGCATCGTAAAAAAGGCATAAACGTCACACGTTTAAGGCAAACGTCACAAATACTTTCACCGTTATCTTCAACGTGCGATTGTGAATGAATTTCAATGAACCGACCAAACTATTCGGTCGTCAAACGAAGAATTTGTGTACAAAATTACAAAATTTTATTGCACACCAAACGAATGCAGTGCGATAAATTAAATTCTATTATCAGCTACATGTACCATAATAATTCATACATAGCAATCACACAAATTAATTGTTATTGAATATAAATTAATAATTATTTATGGAATAAATGCGGGTGATCGATATGTAAAATACGTCATCAATATCATAGAGATCAACATAAGAAATAGTTTTTTTTTCTTTCTTAACGGTTATCTTTCTTACCGGTACTCTTCAAACTGCCAGTATCTCCTCCAGCATGCATATTATCCTCTTTTGTTTGATGTCTAACAGATTTATCGTCTGCTGATCTTAAACGGTCTTGAAGGATCTCGACGGTTCGATTCAGAAGTTTGATCTCCTCTTGTAAAGGATACACTTGCATGTTCATCTGCATCAGCTCTTTTTCATGGGCGAGTTGGAGAGTGTGTAGCTAAAACAAGAATAAAAACATACATTATAATGTACCTACTAGCTTTCCGCCCGCTGCTTCGCCCGCGTGGAATTTTGTCTGTCACAGAAAAACCCTATCGCGCGCGTCCCTGTTTCAAAAACCGGGATAAAAACTATCCTATGTCCTTTCCCGGGACTCAAACTATCTTTATGCCAAATTTCATCAAAATCGGTTCAGTGGTTTAGGCGTGAAAGAGAGACAGGCAGAATTACTTTCGGATTTATAATATTAGTATAGATATACAGGGTGTTAGGTAAATGGGCATATAAATGGTATGGTGAAGTCAGAAAATTGATATCTTCATTTTAATTATTTAAATTTTCATACAAATCGGATTTTATAAATTTTATTTTGTATGAAAATTTAAAAAATTAAAATGATGATAACAAATTTCTGACTTCACCATACCATTTATATGCCCATGTTAACATGAGCTAGTGTCGGCTCATATACCCATTTACCTAACATCCTATACACCGTGTTACTTTGCATTCTTGCCATATTCACAGAGATAAAAGTAGGTAACAGTACCTATTATTTAAGATAAACAAGAGACTCCCATAAAGAAAGTACACTAAGATTTTAGTAAATTTGGTTTTTCAGTACAAATTGGAATAAACCAATTTTGTCTCGCACGTTCTACAGGTGCAAGTGGAACAGGGCCGGATCGTGAATTTGTGGGGCCCTGGGCTGAAACTTCTTATGACGTTGTCACGTAAAAATATCATCCGTAAACCGACTTTACAGACAACTTTTTTTTTTTCCAAATTATAACCTACTTTTTAGCGGGATCTGGGGGCCCCTTGTAACCACGGGGCCCTGGGCTGCAGCCCAATCAGCCCATAGGTAGATCCGGCCCTGCAGTGGAATAAACCTAGTGGGCGTGGCCTAGTTCTTAATTTTATGGCATTGGGTACCAGCCTTTTTATCCAGTCATAATAACTATTTTAAAATACTCTTCAGTTGATTTCAGATTTTCCTTTCTACTTTCGGCNCGGGAAGACTTGAGGTTGGTGACAAATGTATTCTACTCTGCCGTCACCACACGGCCGAGGAATCCCCGCTGTACCACAAATGCGGTTCGGCGGATGACACGGTGCAGCACACCCTCGCGATCTGTACAGGCTGGGAGGAGCAGCGCCGTGTCCTCACTGCGGTCGTGGGCCGGGATCTTTTGCTTCCGAGCCTGGTCAACGCCATGCTGGAAAGTGAAGGATGCTGGATGGTGGTCGCCTTCTTTTGCGAAGAGATCATCTTTTAGAAGGAGGCAGCGGAGCGCGAGCGGGAGAACGATCCTCTCGCCTCATCGCTCCGCAGGCGGAGAAGGGGGTGGAGAAGGCGGTTATACGACCGTTCTACTCTGCCCACAGATGGCGGCCAGCAGGCCGGGGGAGCGGGGGCACCCTTGTCACCTCCGTCTGACGGGAACGGCTTGGCGTTTCGCGCCATTCCCGTCGGATCCCCACAAGGGGGGCGTCTAGGGTCCGCCGTGTAGGCGAGATGTCGCCGGTGGTGTCGCGGAAGTCTAAGGTTACGGCCCGATACTATAAAATAAAGCATTTCCTCCGCGACAAAAAAAGGGGGGCCCGAAACGAGCTGTGCCTAGGGGCCCCGAGATGGTTAATCCGGCCCTGGGTAGTAGAGCATTTGGTGTAACGCTAAGGGTACGTCATCAAGCAATTCGTCTAAGACGTCTTGCAGACACTCCAAGCACCATTTTGATTAAATTATTCGTTGTTTGAATACACTTCAGTCATTTTTGTATTATTTATAACGTGACTTGTGTTTGATGGATTTCTCAGTTTTTTACAAGTGTCAAAAAGACATTTTAAAGACAATAGATTGCAATAGATACCTATTTAAAAATACAATAAAAAGTAAAAAAGTCTCCATCGCCATCGCCAACAAGTGATGTGCATGCGTTACGATAATTAGTGGTGTGTTTAACAGATTGTCGATAAAATAAAATATTCAAGATTAAAAAAAAAAATTTTCGGGCATTATTTTTTTACGGATTTGTGTTCAGTATCAGTAATATAGTAACCTCTGTAAATATGGCAAGAATGCAAAGTAACACCCTGTAGATTAGATGAACAGTTTTGTCTGCATTTTATAGGTCTTACTAAGTCGGTAGGAGAACCAGAGTGACTGACATAGCCCGCAGAATCGCTAAAATCAAGTGGCAGTGGGCGGGGCACATAGCTCGAAGAGCTGATGGCCGCTGGGGCAGGAAAGTTCTTGAGTGGCGACCACGAGCTGGAAGACGTAGCGTGGGCAGGCCTCCCACTAGGTGGACCGACGATCTGGTAAAGGTTGCGGGAAGTACCTGGATGCAAGCGGCGCAGGACCGGTCTTTGTGGAAATCCTTGGGGGAGGCCTTTGTCCAGCAGTGGACGTCTTTCGGCTGAAACGAACGAACGAACTAAGTCGGTGCCTGAGATATGGGAGCGGTACGGGAGGGGCGACATTGACATATTATTATTATGACGTGACAGAGCATACAAATCTGAAGCATGTCTTAAGTAGGGATGTTATGGATATGTAGTTTCGGTTATGGATACGGATATAGGAATAATTATTATACCGCTTTCGGTTACGGTTACGGATATCTGTGCTTTAGAATGCAATTTGCAATAGTTTACATCTGGCCGCACACTTTACATCTAATAAAAAATAAAAAAAATATACTAGATGGCATTATAAAGGTAAATCAGGCTGTTATATGCCTTTACATATAATGCTATACAAAAAACAATTTAAACTGCGTCTTAAGTCTCAAAAACACCCTTCCATACCGCTCCCATAGCTAAGGCTCTGACTGAGTTAAGCGACTAGAACTACACATAGATCCTATAGGTTGTAAACTCACATCTTGAATCCTCTTCTTCTTCAGCAAGATAAACTCTTCGTTCGTTCGCTTCAAAGAATCCAACAAGCTGTTTCGTTCAAGCAATATTACTTCTTTCTGCTTTTTCATCTCTTCCAACTCAGTCACCATTTCGGTGTTCATTCTTGCCAAAATGTTTTCTGTAGACTTATTTTGCTTTAAACCTATCTTCTTTTGAGGGTTTATGTGAAGTAGCACTGAAAAGAAAATTAAAATGTATAAACCAGAGCTTGAAAACACTTTATAAGTAAGTAGCCACTGCTAGATTTGATTACTTACCTTCTTTTTCTTTTTGCAGATTCCGTAAATTCTTCCTTAATTCTTCTGTTTCTCTATTTATCTTAGCAATAGTTCGTTGTTTTACAGTAAGCTCTGCTTGCAAGCCCTTGATTGTGGCCACTAAATAACTATCTTCTTTCAACTTATTCAATAAAAGCGCAGAATTCTGCGACAGTCTGCTCACAGCTGACGAAGCTCTGTCTGGTTTTAAAAATGTTTGTGTAGAAATTGTGTGTACAGGCCTAGGCATTGTTTGGACGGATGCATCAACCATGTTGGCTTTGCCTAACTTATTCTTAAGCTCTGTGTTTACTTTACGATCTTCCATTAGCTGTCGCTCTACGTCAATAATATGGTTTTCATATTTCACTTTCATGTCTCCAAACTTTTCCTGAAGCGTTAACAGTATACCCTGAAAATGATCTTCCTTGTCCTTTAGTTCTTGTTCCAAACGGGCGATTCGTTCTTCCAATAACTTTTTCTTGTTATCTTCCACTGTCGATGACTTTGAGGCCACTGAAATAATAACCTAGTTAATAAAATCATCTTTAGAATTATGGTTACTAAACCATAATTAAAAACTTATTTTAAAACCTATGGATTAACGAAACGCACCTATCAAGGCTGATACAGAATCAGGATGTTTCCTTCTCAATATCAGCTCCATTTCTTTGACCTGCCTTTGAAGATCATGAATTACAATCACGTCTTTTTCATGTTGGATAGTCAAGTTCTTTCTCTCGTTACGTTCTTTATTTAACTCTGCCATTATTCTTCCCTCATTTTCGTTAGCCGCTTTGAGTTCCATATTTCTGTTCTCATATTCTTTTCCAATTCGACTGATAAACTTTTCGCATTCAGCTAATTTCAAATCGGCAACATGTTTTTGTTCGTTGATTTGATCGAGTTTCTTTCTCAGAACTTTATTGTCATCGGTTAGTTGAACATTCAAGAGTTCAATGCTTTTAATTCTCTCATTGGTATCTTTTAGCTCTTCAATTAAACCTTCGTGTTTACAGTTCGTGCTCTTTTTTGGTGAGTTTGTAACAAATCTTGCAACTTTACCGCCTTCTCGTTTCTTAGAATCGATAACCCCAGCCGAATAAGGTCTCGATTTTGGTTTGCGTCGATTTTCATTATTTTCTTTACCAGCTTGCTTGGTATTTTGCTACGACAAGAAAGACAAATTATTTATTTTCTTTACAAGGTACAAGGGACAGAGCAAGAGTTTAGAGACCAGCCTTTCCCCTACTTGAGAATTCATTAATGGATTTACCTCCAGTTAACTCATAAATATGGCTCTTTTAATTTTTTTACGTCGAGGAGTAAAAAAGAAAGTAACTCGCCGTGGAAGTATTTTCGTAGAAAATTGTTCATATTGTATTTTATTCCGAAAACTCACTTTCGACGCACGAGTGTCACCGTAGAACACAATTAGCTAGTCCTATTGAGATAAATAACCCATTAGAAACGTGTTTACAGTAAACACGATTTGTCATCAACGTTGAATAACTGCAACTTGGGCCAATGACCGAGCCATGGCGTCTCAACCTCGGCCACGAAGGTTGTCATTCTGGTTCCAAAACAAATACCTAACGATGCGGCGCCAGAGACGTGATTTCGGCAAATCAGCCCAAGTTTAAAATTAGAAACGCCAACAACAAAGGATCGGTTGGATGAAAACAAGTAGAAAATAATTCTTAAAATATTTTACGTTTAACACATTAATGTTAAAAAGGGAAAGCGAAAACTGTAAGAAATTGTCGCATGAAGAACGGAGTAGTGCTAAACAGAAGTTTGTTATGAAAGGTCGTCAACAAAATCCTCTCACGGTGCTAGACTACTAGGTAGAGTGGAGTCGTTTTTAGCCGCCAATTTGTAGTTTTGTTAGAAACTACGGGAAAATAAAATTCCAGATTTCCGATTACGTATTAGGAATTTTGATAATTTATATCTGCTTACGAAAACTTTTTGCCTACGATTATGGTGTGGACATCCCACTGAGATCATTTCTACGCACTATTTTACCACCCAGATTTTTCTATCAAACAGGCACATGCCGTGTGCTATCCGCGTAATATTTTCCTCGTGATATCTAAGTGTCAAAGTAGAGTTGGAGCTTAAAAGGCTTAGCGGCTGCGCCGGCGCATCAGTGCGGTCATCGGTGCGGTCAGTAGCCATGGGGTCGTTGATGCAAGCGGTAGTCCTCGCGCTGGCGACCACGACGTTCGTGCTGGGCACACCACTCGTCAACGACTTAGAGCCAGGGCAAGGTAAGTTTTTGTAAACACCATAAATTTTGGAGTATTTAATGCTAATTATTACCTATGTCAAGGTTTTTTTTATTTGATGTAAACCATTTCAATTCGAATCATTGGCTTTCGAATAGGTGATAAACTTTAAAAAAATATTTAGCTTCAAAAACTGTATCATATTATTTGATGTTAATTTAGATCTTTTCTTAATAATAAATGTATAACCTGAACCATTAAAACAAGGCGATATAAATCTCAACTTCTGCGCATACGCACTTCCACAATAAAACCTAAATTATTTAGTTTCAAATGTCATACCTATTAAACGAAAGCTACAATTTGCACCGTACCGATACATTTTTGTCACAAAAAGCTTTATTCCCGAACTATCTATAGATTAATTTAACTATCTAACACTTGACTAAAACGATTTTAACAAAAAATATTCTAACAAGAAATCTTGCGTCCTACTTTTCCGCTAACTTGATTCAATGTGCGAAATGAAATTGAATATCTAGCGCTACAAACTTTTACATGTAATTGAAATACATAGCTAAATTAATTTTAATTACGTAAATGACTGTATGTGCGACGGTTTTCACCGGATTTTGTATGTTAGGGTCGCTGTTTGACCTAAATGATATTTAACAGGATAAAATAATATAAAAATGCAAATTATGCTATTAAACTTAGATGACCTAGGCTTCTAGACTTTTATAAACATATTTTGGAGTTTTATACTTTAAAAACAGGCATACAAAACAACCAAAAAATACAGGGCCTATCAAAAAATTTACTCCTAAAAATTAAATGATTAATAAAAAGCGGAAGAAACGACAATACACGGGAACATTGTTCTAAAACGAATCGCTATTCCGGGCGTACAGTCGCCTTCGATATACGTGATCGAAATCGACGATTAAAAGTTGCGGAAACTGTTTACGTATAAAAATGCATGAAGATCAACTCGTTTAACAATGCAAAATGGCTGTGGCACTCTCAAAAAGTTTGTTTTTGTCGTGCAAGGAATCCAAAATGAGGTAATGAAAGTTCGCTATTAGGTAGTTTTAAAAGTACCGTTATTGTTACATTACTGGTAGGTGTGAACTCAGGTTAAACTTGCAATTTATTTAATTTATAGTGGTGACTTAATAGTCTTCCTTGTTAAGTCTAATTTAGTCAATTTTAGTCTCTATTAAATACTTTTTTTAATGGTTTTTGACCAATTTAGTTTCATTTAGTACCAGCCATTTCTAACTAGTAACGTAAAAGAAAGCACATGTTCATAACAACACTAATTTCGCACGCAAATAGATTCGGGAAAGTTTTACGCGCTCTAGCGACAATTTAATCAATACATTCATGGCATTGTNTCCAAAAATCCATTGGTGTCAGGTCCGAGGATCGTGGTGGCCAAGCTACTGGACCCCTCGTCCAATCCACTGTTCACCAAACGTATTATTCGCGCACTTGACGTCCTTATTGTGGGGGAGCACCATCCTGCTGGTAGTAGCAGTGCCGTATTATCCATAAGGCACTTTAGGCCAGTGCCTAGGGGCCCACTATGACCAGGGGCCCAGCACTCCCGATAAAAAAATGAAAAAAAAAAAATGTTAAAGATTATTTTTATGCAACAAAACTCAAATCACCTCAAAACTTCGCCTTATTTTGATTTACATATTCAATCGTCAAATTTCGATATTGTGGATGGAAACTAATTCATTTTCGTAACGTTGACATTACTGCTTTGGTTTACATGACAGGTCGACCGTCGACGCCCTTCAGAGGCTAAAAAGCCTCACTGCAGAGGCTAGGGAGAGGGGTGAGGGTGTGTTGACTGTATCATTCGATATAGCCTTTGGATATTGGTATTGAAAGAATACCATTCCTCATTCCACCATACTCTAGGCACTTGAACATCACAGAGTGCCTCAGTACCTTCGAGCGCTGCTGGCCGATTACTTACGGGCCCGCGAAGTCCTGTATGTTAACAGAGACGGCCAGCTCAAACGGCGCGGCGTAGCCAGCGGGGTTTCGCAGGGTTCGGTGCTCGGTCCACTCTTGTGGAACCTAGGCTTCAACTGGCTCCTCCGGGGCGTCCTTCTCGCGGGCATGAGTGTCATATGCTATGCGGATTAGTAGTTAGGATTGACGTCAAAGGCCAGATGAAATATCTGGGCCTCATGCTTGACGGGAGGTGGCATTTTAGCCCACACTTCAACGGGCTAGCGTCACGCCTCCTCAAGGCAGCTGGCGCACTGAGTTGGCCCCTCCCGAATTTGGAAGGTCCACAAACGAGGTGTCGTCTACTTTATGCAGGCGTTCTGAGGAGCATGGTGCTGTATGGCGCCCCAATCTGGACGGACGCACTCAACAAGAGGGAGAATGCTGCCCTTATGCGCAGGCCCCAGCGGGCCATAGCGCAGAAAGTCGCAAGGATCTACCGTACGATAGGGCACGCTGTGGCGTGCGTCCTCGCTGGTACTCCTCCTTTGGGAGCTAGAAGCTGGGGTCTTGTCTGTCATCTGTCATCTATCACTGGATGGCAGACCAGAAGGCGCGTGGAAAGCGCCCGGCCCCGGAGCGGCGCGGCGCCGTCAGGCAGGAAGAGCGCGAGATCATGATCGCCCGCAGGAAGGAAGACATGACTCGCGCGCAGTTTGGCTGCCGCACTCTGGACGCCATTGGTCCTGTTNAATAAAGATAATTTTGATTTTGATTTTGATTTTGATTGACATAACAAAAGCCGCAACACCTGCAGGACGTTCAAAAATAAATAATTCCTCATTCGATCCGAGATCAGCGTGGAATGGAAATCACGGCAAGGCCAGAGAAAGTCATTAAACATGTCACAGGACGGACGGGGCTCGTATTTAAAACATGTTTCTATTTATCAATGACTCTGGGTCGATGTAATCAGTGCGTGTACAATCGCCTTGGCAAAACAATAAGACTTGCCACTATTAAAGTACCATAAATCACTTTACATTTGACCGATATATCTATTTATTAGATTTGATAAATCTATTATTATACTTTTCAGTGTGAATAAAGTACCTACTCAAATACGATACGAAATATTGCTAAAATAAAAATTATAACACCATGAACAGCATAGGCGTTAAAACTGTTCTTTTCTTAAATTTTTCCAATGTTTGTCCTTGAAAGACGTAAAGAGTTGTAAACATGACTAAAATCCATTCAAAATACTTCAACAATATTTTCTCCCCTTAAACTTTTTGGCCCAGCTAAAATGATAGATCAAGTAAACAAAAGAATCACGCGGTAATGCCATCAGCTCATTACAGATTCATGAGCTATATCCTGAACAGCCGCAAAAGGCGATTATGATATGCAATTGCACTAGAGGACCTAATCGCGTATCATAGCAAACACGGTAATAATAGATAATGGATCACGCTTAGCACAAATAGTTAACTAGCTAGTCTAGTATCCGAACAGCATCACCAATTTGGATTCTACATGAAACAATTATCTTTTCATGCATAAATGTACTATCAAACCAAAAAATATCTCTCTTGCGGAAAATTCTTTTAGAAAATATCGGTCGTAATAAATCACAACTGAAGAATTTGAGCAAAAGCTGCTGTTATGTTGAAAAAAACTTAATTTTCAATAATTTACAGATTGGCCACCTAGAAACTCTGTGAGACAACCGTCCGAAATTGCTGAGTCGGAAAGTGAAAAAATTGTGAAATCACCAGAAGTTCTAGAAAAACAACCGACTAATGAGGTTCAGAATAACGTAGAAGATGTTGTAGTTATCGAAGCTAGCAAAGAACCTGTAAATGAAGTACCGCCAGAAGTACCACAAGCTGAACCTTTAGTAAATGCACAGAGCGAATCTGACAGCGTGCAGGTCAAAAGTGGGAATCTCAAAAATGAAGTGGAA